CCTGGGTTCCTCTTGCTCAAAGCGTGCGATGCTCCTGGCCCAGGACACTGGTGTCTGTGTTGGCTTTCGCAGCACTTCTGGTGGTGGGTACCAGCTGATCCCAGTCATTGCTGGTATCTCCATGGGTGTGCAGCAGTGTTTCAGCCCCCCAGGGCCTGGGGTCTTGCGCTGGGTACTGAACCCACACTGCTGGGTGGGGGGTCCTCCACCCACTCCTCCATCCCCCTGGACTGCAGGGACTCATCTATGGAGCAGGTTTGCCAGCCCCACAGCAGGGGACTGTCCTGGGCAGGACCTCAGCGGGCATTGCGGGCTTTCAGCCAGGGGATGCCCAGAGCTGCGCGGGCTTCAGTGGTTTGGGGTCGGATGTGCCCTGAGGACACAGACGTGTCCCCACCAGGAGCCCGGGGCTCCTCTAACCTGAGCCCTGCCAGGTCACTGAGTCCTCTCTGCGATTCTGTGCGATGGCGCCGGGTGTGCTGCAGCTCTGAAGCACACGTGGGAACCCAGCTCCTGGAGGGAGGGGACAGCAGCAGGTCACCGAGGTGGTGCAGACCAAGGGTGGAATGGGTTGTACTGGTGCAAAGCAGGAGGACAGCCCTGGGGTGTCACAGCTCCTCCCCATCACTTGCTGGTGCTGCTCCTCAGGGTTAGCTGGTGCAGAGGGTCCCAGCTGGGGGTGCGGCAGGGGAGCCGTGTGTCCTGTGCTGAATTTCAGGGGTGCCCTTTCTCCTGTTTGTAGGTGCAGCCGTCAGACACTGTGACGAGGAGAAGGGCTGGCTGGAGCCAGATCTCTTCAACTGCACTTCCCCTGCCTTCAAGGAGCTCTCCATGCTGGTAATCCTCTCTCCACTCTGCAGCCCGGGCAGAGCAGGAGCCATCCGAACGCGGGCTCACAGCCAGGTTGCACAGAGCTCAGCTCTCTCTGGGCACCTGCAGTAGGAGAGGGTCTTGCCACAGTGCTCAGCACCTTTCTCTTCTCACCTCCTGCCCCCAAATCTGTCCTGTGGGAGCCCTGGTCTGAGCTGGAGTTCACTTGCCTTCATCTCATCTGAGTGTCCCCATCAGAAATGGCCTCTCTTACCCCAGTATTTGAGAGGAAAACAAATAACCCTGAGCAGGGCTGAATTCTTTCAAGCTGGGGAGATGTCTGCTCCACGGGACGTGTGTAATAGCCCACAGACTGTCAGTGGCAAATCCCTTTGAAATATCCAGGCAAGTGTATTAAACACTCGCATCTCACCGAGGCTGAGTTGTAGCTAAAGCCGGTGAAGTTTCCAGGGAAGTATCACTAGGTGCTTGTCCTGTCCATCCATCTCCCTGGGCTCTGGTGTGTACAGCGCTGGGCCAGCGCAGCCCCCGATGCGTGGCTGGAGGCTGGTTGTCTGCCAGAGACACTCCCTGCTCTAGTGACCACCGCTGTGAGCGTCCGTGGCTTGTGCCATGGTTTCAGAAATAATCTCTGGGTCCAAGGGGGCTGCAGCATCCCAGTTTCCCAGTGAGGAACCTGCTAAATTGTTTAATCCCCTCCTTTCTCCCTGCTGGCAGCTGGAGGGCTTGGAGAGGAATGAGACTGAGCTCAACACCATTGAAGCCAAGAAGCTGGCCCACCGGCTGCGGGCCGTGACAGACCACATGGACCACTACTTTGGCAACGACGTGCACATCACCTTCCGCCTGCTGTCCCGCCTCATGGCCTTCGAGAGCCAGCAGCATGGCTTTGGCCTGACAGCCACGCAGGATGCCCACTTCAATGAGGTGAGTCCTTCCCCCGGATCACAGTGGCTCCTGACGCTGCTTCTCTCTCTCAGCCACCCTGAGCCTGGGGCTCTGCGGGGATTGTGAGAGCACTGGGCTCCCCAGTGCCACGCAGACACTGGTGGGGATGACCTGCATGGTCGGGACCAGAGCAGAGGGTGGGTGAGGAGGGCAGAGGGCTGGGTTTGCTCAGCCTGGGGAGGCCAAGGGAGATCTCACTGCTGCCTGCAGGTCCCTCCTGGCAGGGTGCAGGGAAGATGTCTCTGCAGGACACTGGTTGATGAGCGTTGAGAGTGGGGCCCCATCACAGCACCCCTTTTCCCCGAGGCCCTGTGCAGCAGAGAGCATGGCGCTGCAGCCTGGGGCTGGTCAGGATGGGGACCAAAGGCGCTGCTTCCCTCACCCCTG